CCCGGAGCTAGAATGTTGATATATTTTAAAATAGTTTCGTGATTGAAAGTCCAGCAAAAAAAAAATGAATTCGTTTTTCGTATGATTATGGTAATTTAGAATATTCCTGACGCGAAATCACTGGTTCTCAAAGTAGTACCCTAGCCACGGCAAAAAAAGTGACTGTCACGTGATGGTGATCATACCCGACCTCGACCGATCTCTACCCAACCCGGCTTTTAACCACGACAAAAAAGTACTTTCAAGTGATAATTTTGCACAACTAATAGAATATAGCTTGAAGTATTATCAAAAAATGTCGGGAAGGCAATTTTATATATAGTCTCTCCTCAAGCTCTAATATTTGATGTTTAATATTAATCGAATATTTCAATCACACTTTTTTTTACCGTGACTAGGGTATTAGGCTCTTCTTACAATATTGCATCGAGTGATTAAATTATTTTTGGCGAGCACTATAATTAAATTTGACGATTTATTTTATTTATTTTTTGTATATAAAGATGCAAGCTAAAGGAAAAATTTATTATATTATATTTATAAATAGGCTTCGAACGACCAAAGTCTCGCATCTTTTAATTAAACCTGATTACATTTATTAAACAAAAAATGCAAGATAACCTAATGGTTTGTAATAGCAATATTATTATGTTATGCAGAATCATTATGGATAGGAAGGTAAAAACATGACTTATTGTTTTTAAATTGCTTGACGTTAATATAGTTTTAAAAAAATTTGATACTTAACAAATTCTACACTTTTGTCACTATATAGGCGCCAAAATAACCATATTTATTGTTCTTGGGAACCTTGCGGTAATTTTTCTGAGACAGGCAACCAAAACGGGAATATCGGCTGATGAACATAGCGAATTCAATGCAGGAGGTTATTACATATAACAATGCTCATCAAAAGTCATTATGGTGGTGGTCAGCACAAGAAAAATTTTAAGCCACAAAATGTTCCTTCTCATATCCTCTAGAAATTATTATATAAATTGATCGCATTACTTATAACTGTTAAAAAATGTTAGTGATCAAATTGAATTTTTCTTAATTACCTTATAATAATAAATGACATTAATCACTTGTTAACGTTAATACATACGTATCGATATCGATATTGATCGATTAAAAATTAATCCATGTTCAAACTTAGTTTTGAAAGTAATATCGCATAATAATGGTTTTCAATTTAAAAATATAAAAGTTTCTTTCATAATTTGAATCTGAAAACTGAACTGGTTTACAACGATAAACCATCATCTCTATTTTAATCGCATAGCCATGAATGAAAATTTCAAAGCTATACGTACATTGTGGCTATGTGAAATTTGTGGTACATGTAAGTCAAAATTATACGTATGTGGAAACGTTAAAAAACGACAGCGAAATTATATAAAATCAAAAATATTTTAATTGTTTACATAATAAATGATTAAAAAGATCCGAAGCAATATTGGTCCAATATCGGTAATTGTATTTCTTGAAGTGGGGGTTTTTTCAGTTTGCTCTTATTTCTTTTAACCCTTCTAACAAATTTTCTTTATCAATTTTGTTTGAAGGCAAACGAAGTTTAGACTGTTTGACTGATAGTGGATGGTTCTTCATTTGATAGTTGATCTTTTTTGATGTTTTTAAGACATATTTTATTTGCATCTTTTAATTGGAACCAACGTTTATATGATTTATAAATTCCCATGATTCTTTGAAATACAAGTTCCGAAGATTTAATTAGGTGTACAGACTTTAAAAATGACTATCCTAAAACCAAATTTTCTACAAATCAATATAGTGTTCTTATGACCAGTCACTATAATGACTTAAAATAAAATAACTCAGCCAATATTAGTTTGTTTTGTATAAAATAATTATCAAAACGTTCGTCTCTATAAGACAAATCCAATGCACTAAAAATCATTAATTTTAATTACTAGTTGCAAAAAATTATAGTCCGAAGATTATAATTTTCGGTGACTTCTAGTCACCCTCTGTAGATGTATTAGTATATATATAAAATTTATATCATTAAAATAAAATAATTTAGCTCAACACGTCATGTTTTCTGCGAGAAGTATGGTATTTACCGTTACGATAAAAAAGATATATTATTTGGGCGCTAAACCTTTTTTATGCTTATTAATTTGGCAACTGAATTTATGTATACAATAGTATAAATATAAAGAATTCTAATAAATGGTACTTATCAATGGCTTTTTAATTTTCATTCTCTTGAATCGATGAGCATTTATTGGCTGAAGAATCATGTATGAGCCGCACAAGTAGAAACCGACACCCCTACAATATATTACCAGAAATTTCAAAAATGAATTTATCCCGATATCTCGACATTCAGTGATTCCATTCGAACAAAGATATTACCATTAGCTTTGTCTCTACTATGCGAATCTAATGGTAATATCTTTGTCCGAATGGAATCACTGAATGTCGAGATATCGGGATAAATTCATTTTTAAAATTTCCGGTAATATATTGTAGGGGTGTCGGTTTCTACTTGTGCGGTCCATATACAGATGGCAAATAACACTGAAATGACATCTATTTTATTATAGACTTCAAGTAACAAAAATCATTTAAAAAATAACAAATGACATTGACATTTGCCAACACTCACATAACACGTTTGAGTATCAATATTTCACTTCGGGAATCTTCGAAAATAAACTCATTTGTTTATTCTTTCTGCTAAATTTTTATAAACAAATATTTTTTAGCTAAGACTATTGAACATAGATAAGTTAGAATGCAAATTAAACAAAATATCCATAAAAAATAAATATCTAATATTAAGTGTACATTTTGGTCAGGGATGTTAATAGTACGGAACCGCAGCTGTTTTTCATATATTAAATCGCGGTTCCAACTGGTTTCGCATATTAAAAAACTTTTCTATTTTTAGTTCATGATTCATCTCGCTTTTGTTCTCTTTTATTGCTATCATTAGTTATTATTTGTGGTTCTGTATTAACTCGAAATTTTGGTCTTTTATTTGAAAATCAAAGTATTATCATATACAGCATTTGAAGTTAACTCTTATTAGTTTTATATATTTGTATTAATTTTGCATATTAATATAATTTATTTATTTACAAGGATTTATTCAGAATTTAATATAACGATAACAGTTTTATCTGGATGTTAGCGTTAGTCCGGTCCTTCGATTCGTCTTAGAACTGGTCTTCGTTAGGAACTGTTGTACATTCGATTTAATAACGTAGTACACATCGGAATAAGCCATGACGAGCGACGCGATATGAGTATGGGAAACAGGCATTCGAGAGGTAAGAAAATATTAATAAAAATATTATGTCATTTTATGATATATTTTGGATCCTCATTGGTCTGAGACTACAGCTTGGTCTTTAGACTGAATCGGACTGAACAGACAGATTAGCAACCCTAGTTTTATCTTTTATATAAGTATTTTGGTAAAAAAAACCTATTTATACAAATTGCTCTCACAAGTACGTGTTACAAAATTTTTAAAATCACTCATGGTCAGAAAAATGTAAAGAATGAGATTTGCAACTCGATTTTAAGTTGGCTATTGAAATTGTTGATATTCGCGATTCCAATAAATTTCCGGGGATCGTTTCCGTTACATAGGGAAACTGCACGCTCTAAAGTGGCGCTGAAAGAGTTTATTTTTGTGTTTTGAGCGAATTAAAGTTATTTATTAATTTATTTATTGAAAAACTTATTATTTTACAAAAAATTTATTAAAATTATTATTTTTAGAATAATTATTAATTAATTATTAATTTATAAATTAATAAATTTTTGTTTGAATTTGATCAAAGTTCAAATTAAAATTTAAAATTTAAACTATTATATGAGTTCTTTTCATTTTTGCAAATAAAATAATTTTCTTTACTAAAAAATTTGACTAAATTAAGATTAAAAAGTAAAATAAGATGAATATAAAGAAATATAAATATAAATATAAAAAGATTTTACTATATTATTTAAAATTTATAATTTTTAAAAAATAATAATTTTTAGAATTAAATTCAATTATTTTATAATATAATATATAAAAGATACTTATATAATATATTTTGATAAATTATAATATTTTTTATAGATAATATTTCTAAATATAAATATATATAAAATATTATAATTAGTATATTATAACAATAAAATTTTTTATTTTAGAGATCAGACTAAATTTATTAAGAAATTCTATATAATTTTTATTTTTGATCTTTTAATTTTAATAAAATTATATTAAATAAATAAAATAAGTTTATAAACTTATAAGCATATCTAATTAATAATTTATTATTTAAAAATAAATGACAATGTATCATATAACAAGTAATTTGTGACATAAAAAAGATTTTATTTTTGAAGATAAATGATATTTGTCATAAAACCACATGATTTTATTAATCAATCAAAACAGTGAAACTATTAAATATAATACAATATAATTTATGTCATTTATAAAAACAAATTTTATGACTTATCATTTTTAAATATAATGTCATTTTTTTAAATGACAATTGTCATTTTAAAAGGAAATGTTATTTATTGTTATTTTCATAAAAATTTTTAAGACTGTCATTTGCCAACACTGCAACCAACAAGATGAGAATCGTTTAAATTAATTTGATGAACACAAATCAAAACGAAAATACAAATATTTCAATTATTAATAATTTAAGAGAAATCAGAAAAATTTTATGTGCTTATTTTTTCGAATATAGACTGTGCCATTAAGAAATCTAATACATGTAACAAAAAGGTAGAGTTGATTCTATTCTCGGTTTAGAATCAATTTCAATTCCTACTTTGGAAGTTTCAAACGCCCAAAATCGAAATATTTTGACATAAAAAATACAATTTCTGTTCACACGTTAATTTTAATTTATTCGAACATAAGCATTATTAATAGATACTACATGTATTTGTTAGAAAAATCATCATATGACTTGTGCATTTCAAATCATAAGTATTATATAATTTCGGAGTGATTATTTGGCCTGATGTTGATACTGAGCTAAAACTTCGGCAAGATTTTTGGCAGCCTTGGAGCATGCTTGACAATGAGAATTTTGATGCTAAAATAAAGAACCGTACATTTAAAGTTCGTGAGAATATAAGACAACAAAATATGTATGATTATCCTTACCTGAGAACTATGTTTAAATTCGAGAGAAGTCAAATTTTGAAAGAGTTCAACATAAATCGCTTTCAATAAAAACACGTTGAGTTAGAGAAATTTGACATACCATTTTTCGTCGCACTTTTTAGCAGAGTCGATTGCCAATTGCGCAACCTCGGTCGCTTGTGGGGCGTTCAATGCGATAAGATGTTGGGTACACTCGGCAAGCACTATGTTTAAATGAAGTTGGTAAGAGAAAAATTTATAACAATATAAATTATGAAATCCGTACCAGCATTCGTACGACATTGATTAGCGCACCCTTCGGCGTTCTCGTGCTCAGCGCAATTCTATTCGAAGAATAAAATAATTAACTAAGCACGAAAAAAAATAAATAATACAATCGAAAAACACGAAAGTATTTACGATGCAAGCGGCACGGCTTTCAGCGCTATAAAGACGATATACAAAAATATAAAAGGCGATATTAAATACGAGTCGACATTATGGAACTCTTTTTATTCTAGAAATTTATTTACCAAGATTTCATAAAGTCAAGAGTAGTTGAGGGATTCATGTTTGTGTATGCTATTCTGTTATATAAGATTGATTTGAAAGATTTAGTAAATATTATCGGTTCATTGGGGGGGGGGGGTATTTATAAGTATTGGAGGGGATAAATAATCAAAGTGTTATCTGATGTTCTCACGATTTCTATTGCGTAAAGAAGAATCAATCGATATGTATCCAAAGTTAGTAAAACTATAATGACATCATTTACTTAGATGATGCCTGGGCGTCTTTAGTTTGGCGATGTTCTCACGATTTCAAAGCTTACTAAATTTACTAAAAAAAACTATAAATTACGACATAAAGGTGGAATTGAATCGAATCAAGATAGATCTACGAGCAATATGCAATTATTTAAGATATAAGGTTAAACATATAACGCATTATATATAATTGTCTCAGTTAATACCATCATTAATGCACTCATTGTTAAACAAGATAAAAATAAGTAAGCAGCTTTTTCTTCGTTATGACCTGAAATACACCAAGAGTAACACTGTGAGTTTAACGGGGCAGTATTTATCGTTATCGTTATTAGCTACTTTTGATAATTCTGCTATGATCAATACATGTACTTCGTTATCGTTATATACTCACATGTCAACATTATTTGGAATGTTTATTCTTGTTATGTTCAATATTACATTGACTCGTGTTATTAATCTCGTGATATAATAAACTCAGTCAACCCATGACATTTGAGAGTGACTACGTATATACATAACGTTAATCATATAATTAAATAACACGTTTTTTATTGCGGTATTTATAGATACATGTACCGACTCAGTTAATGTAAACATAAAAGAAGTTTTTTTTTAGTATAATCTTTATTCCTTAATATAAAAATATATTAGTCTAAGAGATTTAAGAAATAAAGTTTAAAATCAATATTTTAACGTTAATGTTGCTTGTTGACTAGATATTTAAACAAAATAACTTATACGATGGGTAGCACATATTGTCGCGTAGGATCACGTAATATTTTGATTGGTCGTCAATCGATTAACATAGAACCATTTGTTTTGATTTTGTATTTTTGTGTCCAGAGGACAATGTACAGTCTCTATATTTCTAGTGGCAAATTATTCCTTTTTACCGTCTGAATTGGACGTTATGCGGGGGTGCAATACTGGCAAAGCTCGTTTTTACCTTTAGAACTTAAGAATTCACTTAACTTCCGGTCAGAGTAGCGTAATATTGCGATTTGATGTCACTCCAGGATAAGATGGTGTCACATTTAGACTGGACGTCCTCCAGTGTAATATTGACGTAATATTTGGAATGAATACTCTCCATTGTAGGTGCATAAAAGCAATTCCGTCAGCTGTTCCAGGCGAATGATAAGGGTCTTGACCTAATATTACCACTTTTATTTTGTCCCGAGAAATTTCCCGAAAGAGACGAAAAATATTTTCTTTTTTGGGTATTTACTCTGTATCACCATATCTTCTAGACTAAATACTCATGTTACCGTTTGAACTAGACATTATGCAGGTGCAATACCACCTTTAGAGCTTAAGGGTTTATTTACGTCTGAACTGACGTTTACGACCGGGAAGATCATCTTGCCTTTTGAGTATAAGAGCTGTGTAAACCCTCGGGTCACAATCTAAGGTAGATTCGGGTATTGTGACTAAATATGGCACTACATTAATATATACTGTACTCAAAATATAAATTTATGTATTTCAAACAAGAATTAATGGTATTCATAGATTTATAACGATAAAAAGTTTTTCCATGCATTGCATTAAACACAACTTTAATGGTTGTGGAAATTTCAAAGCAGAAACTGTGGAAACATATAAGTTTTGAATTATCAATTTTAGACAAAGAAAAAATATAGACTGTCATAATAGTACAAGGATCAGCCCAATGTCATTGAATCAAACAATATTTTAAGATGATATCTATGTTTTATTGAGTAAATATTAACCATTCATTTTTCAATTGCACATATGTATGTATCATGGCTATCGCTGAAGATGAGATCATATTGCAAAAATAAATTAAAGGTTGAAATCTGTCAATTTCGAATATAACAGCTTGGTGTATCAACTCTAAATCAGACAATCAAATCATCTGAGTATAGGTGATATTTTCAAAAATCAACTAGTAACTTTATTTTTTTGATGTTTGCAATAACTTTTACAAAGTCACTCGCTCAATTTTTCTGATAATGTCTCTATTCACAAAGATTGAACATAACCCAGTCCACTCTCTTTACAGTAGTCCTTCATAATTAAAATTTCAATAGTGTGGATTAATATCATTTGTCACAATCGCGCTGTAGTCATTGTTTCAAATTTCTACTAGTAATTTTTGCTCGCAATAATCACATATTATATTAATTCCGTAAGTCACTATCATATACAATTATGGGCCCGAAATATAGGCTCCTATAAAAATTGCCCGCTATAGTCATGTCACAAAACACAAAATGTGTAATCTTAGAATTATTGTCCAGATGCATCGGTTCCAATTTACGAACTGGGCTGAATTAGTTTGATAAATGAAGTTCCTGATTAGTCACGATAAGCAAAATCGGACCTATGAACAGGCCCGAAACCAATTAAAATTCAGATCTCATGTAATAAACCAGATGACAAAACTAATATGGCATCTACGTAATCACCGACCACTAAGCGAAGAGTTTCAGCATAAAATTTTATTTATCGATTTACGTACATGTAGTACATGTATGTGCTATGCCATTTATGAAATAGGGATCGGTTAAAGCGTAGTTCATCCGATAATCTCTCCGAAAAACAAACCAATGAGGATGCGTAAATTTTTAATCAACCCGGCAAAACAAATTTGAAAAATGAAATCTTTTTTAGAGCACTAATTAAAAATGTCGTGAAGGCAATTTTAAATATAACCTTATCTCCTTCCAACCACAACCCTAACCCCAACGTTGAAATTACCTTTTAATATTTTTAAGATATATTACGTGATGGACTACGCTTTAACCATTCTCTGAAAAATAGACAATTTTTATGATCATCCCGTATTGTCACAAGTCACGTGAAATGCTTGATTCGATGAAGTGATACGTATTGCAGGAATAAACTTTCGATATCGATATTGATAGTGTATTTTTGACTAACGCTAATAAATTTTTGTCACACTAGCGCTAGAGTCCAATTTTGGTAATAATTATTAAAAGTTTTTTTAAAAATTTGATCATCGTAATGATACTGCACGTTTTTTTTTTTTTTTTTTTTAGTAAACTGACACTCTACTACAACTATACCCTCAGGGTAAATCCTACTGTATGATTTTGATCAAATGGCATAAGAATTTCGAACCTATTGTGAATTTTCCATAACAAAGATTAGCCAAACCTCAAGATAGGTAAAAAATAACTATAAGTGAAAACTTCCACTTTGTATCTTACCAACATATTCCATTTTCACAGCAGTCCACTCCGCATTATTTCCATTACAATCTCTGTCAGATTTCCCATAATGCATTATTGTTCCAAGATATTCAACATTTGTAAATTCCTCAAAAGAGATCCATTTGAAATGTTTTCTGAGTTTCGTGCATTCTTTCATTAGACTGTCGATATCATTATTTTCGCTAGACCATTCAATTTAACAAAGTTGATAGTGAAAATCGTTTTGAGTGCATTTACCACGATCATGAATTGAAATCTCTTAATTTTATCTAAATATGTTTGAATGCTCAAAGGAAAAATTAGTAATGAATTAAATAGATTGATTCGAATAGTGAGTTTACCTTCATGAAACATACAAACTGACGTTTGTTGATTCGGCATTGATATATATACCAAATTTAGTAGTCATACATGTTAGCCAACATGTTGATTTGCTGATACTATATTTTCTGAAAAACGGAAAATACAAACTGACACTTGTAAACCCTAAAATCAGATGTATTTTTAATTAGTATAAACTGTCAATAGGATCATATTTAGAAAAAAATACTAGTGTCATGCAGAATTTATATTGATTTTGTGATAAAGAGTCGACTAGTGCGAACTGTATTTAAGTGGATTTTTTGTTTTTTGCTCAGATTCGTAAGAAAATTTTTTGCAAATTATCTTCTCATCAAGTTCATATAATTGCTTACTTTCTAGTTTAAAACACTCAATAATTTCTTTACGTGTTCAAGATATTCTAAAGTGCTGTAGTATTAAATATGCAAAGTACTCAGTTCCCAATTAAAGTTCCCACGTAGTAGATTTATTTTCTGGAATAAGATCCCAACATATTTCAATAATAAATTTACGCCATCCGGGAACATTGTTCGGGATTTTAGGTCGACTTCGCTCAGCAAATGGTCCTTAACCTATAGCAACCTCGTACACAATCATTCAAAAGCTATAAACGTCTGCAGATTTAGTGTATGGTTTTCCATCAGCACCTCTGGACTCATATAAGGAAGTACTCCGTAAATATTTTTTCTGTATCTGCATAATTACGCAATAATACGTAATATATTTCCGGTGTGAAAGCCATGATACACAAATTACTCATTGTTAATTTAACCAACACTACAATAATATTAATAAATTTTTTAATCCGCGTCAATGTTTCGTATTTGGAATTCATATCGATATATATCGAATATTCATTTTTTAGTTATTCCATAATAATTAAGATAGCCGCACTTTAGAACAACCTTAATCTAATTTTGAAAATACTAATATATTGAAAAACAAAAAAGCCATATGCTTACACTTTAAAAGGTGTTCATTTTACCTCGTTTGTAAACTCGGATGTAATTTGTATAATAATTTCAACACAATTTGAAATACTCCTCTTCATGATCCCAGTTGTTCAATGACCGTCTTTATAAATTGATATAAAACCTCCTTTTACAAGATATTTAACATTGGTTCAAATATTTTATATTCTGTAATATTATTGCATTCGTTTATTAGCTTTATAGATTCGTCGGTGACAACCCTGTAAAAAAATAACCAGGCAAAAAAACCGGTTTTTTTAGTTCCGAAAAACCACAGGTTTAGTTATACACTTTTCGGATTAAATCGAATTAAAATCTGATTAAAAACCGAAAAAACTGGGAAAATAAAAATTTATCTGGTAACTTTGGGGCATGATATCTCACGATTCACTGATCCAATCCGGACAAAAAAATGCACCATCGGATTCGCCAAAACTTGGCACATCGATGGTGATCTTATTTGACTCGTGAATTATGAGATAGCATGCCCCAAAGTTGCTAGATAAATTTTCTTATTTTACTCGTTTTTTATAATGGATCAGTATTTCATGACTCACAAAACAAAATTGGATGAAAATAAAGCCATATATTTAATGAAATTTAATGAGATAGTGGCTGGTGGGTTATGAGATATCATGCTTCAAATTAAGTGTTTCAAATTAAAATGTGTTTTTTTTCAAAAATTAGCAACTTTAAATCATGATATCTTATGAATTATCAGGCTATTTTTGTAAAAATTACTACCATTGAATTCACCAAAAATAGATAAATTTCATGATAATGTGTTTGGAAATAATCCCTTCATTTTAATTTTGAGCAAAATCGATACAGTAACTTTGGGACGCGATATCTCGTGTTCCACAGGCTCGATCCGGATGAAATCACATCATTCGATTCGCCAAGGCTAGACGAATCGATTGGTGTATCTTTTGAATCATAGATCACGAGAAATCACGTCCAGTTAGGGTATTTGGTCCACTATGTATATCAAATTTATGTGTAGTCTCATATGTAAAAAACGATTAGACCAAATTTTTGTGTAATATATATATGAATAATCTATATCGATATGAAATAAATAACTTTATCAGCGTTTACTAATTTCCTCCCCAAGTTCTGATTGAACACAAGTAATTTCCATCGCTGATTGGTTGATTGCACACCGGGTCTTCTAAATCAACCAGTAAAGATGCATCAACAAATCCGATACAAGAAAATTAAAAAGACGAATAACGTGAAAAATACAGAAAACGAATGCTTAATCCTGGCTTGAAGCACTAATAAAAAATGTCGGGGAGACAATTTTACATATAATCTTTCCTCCAGTCATAATCTTAACCCTTAATCCTAACGCTAAAATCATCTTCAATCATTCAGAACTTGGGGGGAATTAGTAAATCCTTTTTTTTAGTTTTTTAAACAAAAGCTCTCTATTACATTAAAATATAGTATTTGCTAAATATCTGAGCGAAATTTCTAAACAAGTCAATATGTAAATTATTGAGGAGATACAATTTGAAATATGTCAATTTTTCATAGTCTTTTTATATAAAATTACCATATTTCAAATTGTATTTCTTCAATAATTTACATATTAGCTTGTTTAGAAATTTCGCTCAGATATTTAGCAAATACTATATTTTAATGTAATAGAGAGCTTTTTTAAAAAACTGGAAAATTATTAAATTTTTGTATATAATGACCATCTTATATGTTACACGAAAATTTGGTCTAATCATTTTTCATGAGACTACATGTACGCATACATAAATTTGATCTACATAGTGGACCGAATACCCCGACGTCTCGTCTTTAATCAGATTTTAATTCGATTTTAATCAGGAAATTTTATAAATAAACCTGTGGTTTTCCGGAACCAAAAAAACAGGATTTTTGCCTGATTATTTTTTCATAGGGCAATAGAAACATCATTTTTTTGACGATCGATACATGAGTACGTAGGGTTGTTAATAGCGTGAGTGGCGTGGAGTGGAGTGAACTGGATTCATATTATAGTGGAACAAGGGGTCAATTAAATTGAAACCACTCCGGTTTCATTGTTGCTCCAATACTGCGCCAGCTACTCCGGAGTACTTATAAAAGTCATATGTAATAAATTTGATTGGATAAAAGCTATTTATTAATAAACAAGT